GTTCGTTTGTCCGTCTGTTACGGTAGTGTGGGGTAAGTTGCGGGTAGTCTAACAGTTAAGCAAGTAGGTCTGAAGAGGTTCGACGTGTACAGTAAGTGGTTGAGTGTGATGCTGATTCCAAATTCCATAGACAGCAGAGCTGTCACGTGAGCATCCCCAATCGAGAAGAAAACAGTGAGTCTCGCGTATGCACAACTTGCGGAGTGACGAAAATATAATATTTAGTTTGTTGGGGCTGGGGCTGGTCGATATCAGGGCCAATGGGGGATATCTCTTCCTGTGGTCATTGTCAACCCGCACTCAGACTGTTCATCAGACTTTGGAAGATTAAAGCGGTGAAGATGTTGTGGTAATTGAACGTTTTGTTAGACATGTATCAATAGTTATATAGCCCGACCGACCGACAAACGGCATGTAAGCTTTGAGAGTCATTGAAATTCAGAATTGAACTGCGCATGGGTTTGACTAGTCAGGGCAAACTGAGACATGGTACTACTGTATACTACATAATTGTACTAGTGGCTTACTAGCTTCAAGCGTGCTTGATTGAGCACTGGTGTTGTTTTCGAGCAGAGGGGCCATGGTAGAGCATGAGGCAAGCTATGCTTTCAACATCGTGGAACCAGCAATGCGCTCCTAACCTTTCGCCCACCCCCCCTGTCTCAAGTTTTTCTTTCGGGGGCAATTAAGTCGTCGCGTCGTTTGGCTTTGCGATTCAGGCCAACTTCCACACTGGAACCAGCATCAAATGATAGTGGCCGCTAAGGACGTAGGTGTTAGCGGAAGTACCGCTTGAAGCGCCTTCAAATCTGAAATGCTGAAGAGGCAAAAAAACCACAAGACCTAGGTCATGAGCCCACGGATAAAAAATATCACAGAAGCCTAGCCAAGCTTGCTCGGACTAGCGCCTGTTTTATCCCTTCCACCTTTTAAATAAACAACACGGGCGTCCGCCAAATAAAATATTGGGCACGTCTTTTTTCTCCACACAGTTTACTGTTAGGATACCCATGACCATTTCCTCTATATATAAAATGAGGGGGGTCAACGTACACCATAAAATGTTTTAAGGTGTATACCCCCCTTGAGGGGGCTGGGTGCCAATTTTATAGAGGATATGTGTGTGTGTTGTCGCGCGTCATTGAATTTCAGTTTCGCTTTTGAATCGCTCTTTTGTTAGTGGCTTCAAAGGAACGCGCCTTGGCAAGAAGACCTATGAACTGGAAATGACCGTCCCACTAGGATTACATGGTGATGAGGTGCCAATTTTAGGCAATGGCAAAATCTGGTGTAAGTGTGCGCTGGTGTTTTCATTGTTTTCCACCACGGCCTGGCTATCAAGACGCACACCTTTACATTTGGCGCATATTTGAAAAATATGTGGTTCCAGCAGCTGGGTCTGCTTTGGGCACAATGGAAGTGTTTTGGACAACTATGAAGTTTTTTTTTTGCATTGCCTTCAGGGAAAAATCTTTGCTGGACTGGCAGGGCCAACCATTTGCGTGGGGTCAAAGCCAGAAGGGCTGGCAAAGATTTGGCAGAAGGCTACTGCGCAGTACTTCTTCAACTGGCAGGGGATCTAGATTACTTCAGCAATTGGTTGGAGACACCAAGAGTCACCAACCACGAAAAGCCGTGTCCTCTTTGTCGAGCTTCTTTTGAAGGACCCATGTCCTACTGGGATAACAGAAAAGACAGCCCCTAGCAAGCATCACTGCTGATGCCAAGCAATTACAAAGGGCCACGGCGCACCATGTTTGGCTTCAGTAACCAATGTGTAGCCATGGATTTTACGCATACTATGCATCTAGGACGGTTACAACTTTTTTGGTTCTGTCAACCACTTACTTGTGTACTATTTGCTGGAGGGTGAGCCTTTGGACAACCTGTAGTTTGTCCAAAAGAAGAATGACCAAAGAAAGGATATCCTAAACTGCGAGGAAGAGCTTCAGACATAGGTTTGGCACACTGTCTGCATTGATGATGTTTGGCAAGAACAAATGGAAGCAGGAGATGAGTGACATGCGGCATGCGCGTGTCAGATTGTTTTTGCAATACAATCTTGAGCTCAACAAAAACAGGAAACCTTTTCGCCTAAATATGGATACACGGCAATTCACAGGCACAGTATGACAAAGTTTTCCGAGCAGGGTTGACTATGGCTCAGCTGCGCAAACAATTGAGTGAACACTTCGAAGCACAAGGCATACTTGTTTGAATGTCACATCGAAGACACACTTTGCACTACATAGTCTCCAATTTCCAAGTACATTCACCCATTTTTGCTGTGGCTCTACAAGGGTGAAAGCACCATGCACAGGGCACCTTTGGAAGTCTTGCCTAGCTGGCAGCAAACACTGGCGAGCTTCCAAGAAAGCAGCCTGGAAAGAGCGCCGTTTAATGTGGTTGCAGGGCAAGCGCTGGGTTTCACATGGTTTCACACAGCCCAGAAAAATCAAAAAGAAATTGTTTGTAAATTGATGTTGGAAACCGTTCCAAGCAATGTTACTTGTGTGTAACCTGTGAAGACAAACTTCATGTGTAACTTCAAAACCAATGTTACTTGTGTGTTTCCTGTGAAAATCAACTTCATGTGTAGCTTCAAAGCCAATGTTACTTGTGTGTTACCTGTGAAAACCAACGTCATGTGCAATTTCAAAGCCAACTATCACGCAACATGAAAACCACATGGCTTGTTCTTAAACAAATGTTTTGTTTTGGTTGTTTAGTTGTTTCTGTGTTTGTTTTGTGGTGACTGTTGCGGTTGATTCTACGTTGTTTTGACTTTGAATTTTCGTAGGAAAATTTGTTCTTCCACAATTTAGCTAAATACCATCTATTTTCAATTACATTGAAATCATCAAAAAACTGAAATTATTTGATCACCAGACTCGGGGTGGACTAAGCGCCACGAAATCTGCACTTAGAGGTTCACAAAGTGCTGCGCCTGTTTCGAAATCTGCGCTTCGAGGTTCACAAAGTGCTGCGCCTGCCACGCAATCTGCGTTTCGATGTGCGCAAAGTGCTGCGGCTGCCGCGAAATCAGCGCTTCGAGGTTCACGCAGCGTCACGAATCTGCGCTTCGAGGTTCACTATAAGCGCTCGAAATCGGCGCTTCGAGGTGCGCCCTTGCCACAAAATCTGCGCTTCGAGGTTCACAAAGCGAGATTCACAAAGTGCTTCGCCTGCCACGAAATCTGCACTCGAATTTCACAAAGCGGCTTCGCCTGCCACGACATCTGCACCTCGAGGTTCACAAAAAGAGAGGTTCACAAAGCGCTTCGCCTGAAAACGAAATCTGCACTTCGAGGTTCACAAAGTGCTGCGCCTGTCACGAAATGTGCATTTCGACTGCGCAGGCTCGCAAAATCTGCTTGGCTCGCAAAATCTGTGGGTTGTCGCGGATATGGTGGTCACTCTTGGTGGCAGGCGCAAGGGAAACCTCGTGTAAGTTTGGGCGGCGCATGTGCAAAGTCGACGGTTCGTGACAGTGTCAGGTGCAAAAGGGATCGGAGCGGTTTTACTTCGAACTGCAGATTTCGTGGCAGGCGTAGCGCTTAGCGCTTTGTGAACCTCGAAGAGCAGTTAGGAGTTTGAGAGGCATTAATGTAAATAGCAGCGAATTAGCCGGACACGGATGCGCGACCACCTCGGTTAGACCGTCCACACTTTTTGGGGAAAAAGGTCTTTGTCCGAAGCCTGTCATGACCTCAACGCGGCCTTCTCATTTTCCTCGTAACCCCCTATGAGTCTGCCTATGTCATCAGCCTTTCAAGCGTGAAGCGCTATCGTCCCCAGTACCTATCAACAAAGTGCAGCCAAATTAAAAACTCACGTCGGAGACTCCTGAATTACCAACATGCTCGACGCTTGTGCGCGTGTGATATCCAGATTGGGCAGGTGGATGTAGCTGCAATCTTGATTTCAAATGGTGTTTCTAAGTAGAGGTTAAGCTGCGTCTTTCCGCGTTTTGCAGCAAAGTGCTACTGCAGTAAGCAACTTGTGGTTCTAAGTAGAGAGTTGTGTCCTTCCGTGTTTTGCAGTAGAGTGCTAATGCAGCAACTAGCTCAAACTTATAGAGCTCTTGCAGGCGTGGATCGAAGTGTGTTTCGCAACATGGTCCCACTGTGGTCTGTTGTGTGATCCCTACGGGGCGCGTTGAGCATAGACCCTCAAGGGGGAATTGTCACTAGTCATTCGTCTTGCTTGACACCTCCCTGATTAGCTGACTGTTCGAGATTGCTGACCAAATGCTGCAGAGCTTACTGCCGACGACTCGTAGGGTGACATACCATGCGGCTAAGTATGCCTTCATTCACGCGGCTCAGTATTCACTTTGACGTTGTGTTTTTTCTCTCTTGCTGTTTCTCTTCGTTTTCTAGGTTTTCTCTCGTTGCTTGTTTTTTTTGCGTAACTCAGGCCCTTTTCATGTCATGCAACTCATGCACGGTCTTGCTTTCTCTCTTTCCAGGGTTCTTTCGTTTCTTTCCAGGTTTTTCAGTCAAGGGAGCGATTGTGTGCGTCACCTCCTGTCCCCAAGGAAAACGACACCATCGTCTAGGTAGAATTCCTCTCTTAACCTTTAATCCGTTACCGCGTACAGACCTGCAGGGGGACACAGCATTTCACTGGGACTGTGTCCAATGAAGCTACCAGTGAAATGGGATATCCAGCTTGGCCAGCTGGATGTACCTGCACTCTTGCTTTCGAGTCGCGTTTGTAAGTAGAGCTTGAGTTGTCTCCTTCCGTGTTTTGCAGCACAATGCTAATGCAGCAACCAGCTTCCGGGAATTCTCTAACTGATAGAGCTCTTGCGAGCATGGATTGCAGTGTGTGTGTGTGCATTCTTTTTAGTTAGGTTCTCAAAAGATTGACCCAAAACCGACCATGTTGCTGACCCTGGTTGTCCCTCCACAGTGCGCAGGCTGCCTGCCTCTCTCGTTTCAGCGTGTAGCGGGCTGTTTGGCTGGGCAAACATCATCAAACTATATGTTATCGAGGCAGCTTCTGGAGGCAGCGCCCAAAGCTCAGGTGAATGGAGTGGACGGGCGCTGGACAAATAAAGATCATTGCTAAATTGCCACAGGTTTAATTTGTAGACAAGCTAAATATCGAGAACTGAATGGATGCGTACTTCAGTTCATTAATCGCCTACAATGCACCCCAACAGCGAAATGTGTTCTTATTTTGCATACTTGGCTCGTAGAAGCTGGAAGCTTTGTGGAATTTCACAAGCCATGAGCTGGACGGATTCACGGCGAGAGGTTTTGTACCATGATGAAACTCCACGTTTGCGACAAGTTCTGAAATGCCGACGGCAAATCTTCGGCTTTGGCTTGGGCACTTCTGTGCTCTTGGCGCTGGTTCTACTGTACCAGTCCATCAACACAGATGAAACTGCCCGAGTAAGAGACCGTCCAATTTCATATGGACTGCCTGGGCATCTTGCAGGGGTCAACCTTGGAGGGTGGTTATGCTTAGAGGATTGGTTTTATTCTGTTGATCGTGGCCTTCATGTGTCCACTGTGAGCGAGCATGGTCAAGGTCGATGTTTACCTCCAGCCGTTTCCAACACACCGTGGGATTCTGAAGGGAATCTCACCTTTCAGCTCAACCAAACAAGAGGTCGCTTTACCAATCTTGGCAAAACTATCCTTCGTTGTCCTTTGTGATTGGGACACAAGGACAAAAAACTAATGCAATGAGTTGAACCCCTCCATACGTTTTATGGTGTTTGCAACTTCCCTGACAAACTGATTTTTGATCACTCAAAGAATTGCCTGATAAATTGCTTGGTCGTAAGGTTATAACTTCACGGTGAAGGCTTTCAGTGCACATCGACATGCCTTCATCGGTGAAGAGGACTTATCTGCCATTGCATCGTTGGGGTTGCAGATGGTGCGGCTTCCTTTGACATGGGCTGCTTTCGCAGACGCGCTCACGCCTTTGGATCAAAAGATCTATGGCTCACACAACCCTATGACAGAGACAACAATTGTCCCTGAGACATTGCTATGTAAGGTCCTAATTACTCCTAATTACTTTGTAGGGTTCTCAAACACTTGCCTTGAACCCGGATGTGGGTGTGCAGTGGTGAAGAGATCTACCGATGTGCCCGTGTTTGGGGTCCCAGATCCTTTCTACAAGGACCAAGCCGCCTTTGCGACGATTCCTAGAGATTGGCTCGCGGAGTTCCTAGTGCGTTGTGCAAAGCATGGCCTTCGCGTGCTCATCGATTTGCACGCATTTCCTGGAGGTTCTTCCCAAGGCACCTACAATGGCGTTCCTCAACTTTACCAGTTGATCTTGCGCCGATTTCTTTGGAGTTCCACGGTGTCCTACAGCACAACTATGGAGACTCTAGCCTGGGAAGAGTGTCTAAGTGCGCTACCAATAATAAAAACGATTCTTAAGCTAGCAAAACCCTTGGAAAGGCCTACGCACTGCAATACAAAACGCATTCATTCGGGCAACAGGCAGGTGTTGCATTATTTGTCGCTCTTGGTTGGGTTCAGGTGGTTCCCACGATGCAACCTATCCTATTAATCAGATTCCAGATTTTGTGCAATTCAGGAGGCTTTCCCTGCTTGCACCACCAGGCCACCAGGCAAATTTGAAGCCATGTGCTTGAACGCATTTGAACATTGTTAATGCCCAATGAAAGCCTCCAACTATATGTGTATATATATAATAATAGGAGCTGAAACTGCTTATTCGTTATATGTTGCTTTCCTACAATCGTGGAATGACATAGCTATTTATAAACAATTTACAATCAAGCGCATTATGCTGCCCACATTGGATTGGTTCCTCTTTTTGTATTAGCCTACTAGGCCCGGCTTCAATGCCAGCTGACAGTTATGTACTCCAAGGTTTGGCCCAATTGGCCTGCATTTTGGAGGAACAAGACCCAGATCGGCGACGCAGAGCTCTCACAGGCTCCGTACGGTTCACTACAGCTCGTTACGATATGGCATAATAATGGGTCAGAACAACTCTAGCGTGTTCTCAGGGTCCATGTGAATAATTGTAGTTGATCGGCTGATTTTGTCTTGATCCGAGCTAGGACCGTGGAAAAGGATTCACCCTGAGGAAACTCTTCGTGAAGTTTGCGGCTTAGGGGTGAGCGAAGCTCAGAGGTGACTCTAATCTACAGTAGGAGTTTCCAAGTCAGTATAAGGCTCAGGCTGCCTCAGGCTTCAAGCAGAGGTAGCTTTCTTGAAGCCTGAGCGGCGGCCTTATTTAGATTCAATTATATAGTACGTCCAATCGGTGCCTACTGAGTAGCTTACCTCCTTAATCTACATTAGACATTACTTAGCTACTTGTTAGCCCACCTCGTCACAGCCTGCCTATCCCGGGCAAACAACAAGAAAAAGGAAAACGCAGAAAGGTGGGCTTATGGATCATTGGTGCCGCAGTGGGATGGCTAGAGCATCTTAGCGACGAAGCGAAGGAGGGTCGCTTGGCAAGGATCAGGGTGAGAAGCACTTTGTATTTGGTTTAATGTTCCGTTGTGAGGTAGTTTACAGATCTATTTTTTCGACTCTTTCGACCTTGTGTTTTCCTGTCTGTTTGCTTTCTTTTGACGCTTAGACTCTCTTTTTCTTTAGTGGTCGTAAGTGCAGTGGGCCCCCCTTGGAATGGTCCATGTATTTCTGAGGGTTCTGGCCGGCGTTTTCAGCATCAACTCACTCCAGCTTTTTTACAGTCGTTCCTAGGACCACTGTTTCCCCATCGCTCTTAGGTTGCAGGCCATCGCCGCTCTTAGGTTGGCGGCCATCACTATTAATCGAATTTGCTGCAATGGGGCAATGTGCCACAAAAGAGGCATACAAACGCTGTTGAGCACCTGCATAAACCTGGGCGTGGGAACAGGGGAAGAAACCCAACATACGCAAGGGTTCCTACTTCCGGTTGTGGGGTCTGAAGTTGAGATAGTGCACAGAGGCCAGAGGTGGGTTGACGCCTTGACGGACCCATGTTTGGCACTTCCTGTGGGCAACATGAAGCCACCATAAGCCACCTTTGTGCTCTAGATTCACCTCTATACGCAGTACCATTTGAAATGGCAACAGCCGACAGCAATTTAACAGGCATAGGGAATTCTAGAGAAATGTGGGTCCATGCCCTTTCTTCACAAGTCATTCTTGAGTATTGTAGTTGTTTCTTTGCTTTGTCCAAAAGGAAAAGGACGTAGTAGTGGACTGAGTTGAAAGAATGACCCTGGAATCCCATGTTGGGGCATTGAACAAGACAAGGATATTTTTCCATGATATCTACAATCTATACATCAACAAGCACTGTTTGTCCACCCTCACCTCGAATATGACACTCTGGCAGGCCAAGGGTTTTGTGATCAAATTGAGGTTTGGTGGGGATTACACTGATGAATGAGCCTGCACACCTGAACTCTCAAGAGCAGTTTGCGGCCGAAGAGGATATCTTGCGCTGGTTGGCAGAGGCTGCACAGGTTTTCCGTGTGTCCAGCCTGCCGAAGCAGGGGAAGAAGTTGTATGTGCAGATGATTGACACCGCCTTCAAGAACTTTACTGGCACGGTGGTACCTTGGTTTTCCGAACATTCTCTGAGCTGGAACGCCTCAGCTGGGTTGTGGCAGATCAGCATTGGTATACGGCTTGGTCCACTGACTGTGACATGCGCACAGATGAATCCGGATCACTAAATTGCGATGCACCAATGGAGACCATCAGGCCAGCAATTTGGGTGTATTGCACACATTCGAAGAGGTAAATGTTTTTCTGAAGTTAATGTTAAGTCAGTATTAATAACCCCCCTCTCGTTGATCCGAGCCCACAAGCCCCCGGAAATTGCCCAAATTAAAAGTAGTATTGGTGGTTGATTTCCCTCTAATTGTCTAGTTGGGCGCCAGAACCCCCCCCAGTTAACCCGAGCCTACACGACCTCAAAACTACACCACCGCAGACCCCAAACAGTTTGTGTTTTCAAAATCGGAACACTCTGCAACTAGAGCTTGCGACGTCCAGAGCTGGGAGACAAGGATTGCAAGGCAGAGGCGGCCACAGCAGTCCAGGGCTGGGAGACACGTGTAGACACAGAGGGAGACAAATGTAAAGGATTGCAAGCGACATGCAGCGACCGGAGACAAAGAGAGACAGAGGGGACGAGGCGGACACAATGACCAACAAGAGGGAGACAAAAAGGAGACAAAAGATAACAGAAGGGAGACAAGACGGACACAATGATCAACAAGAAGGGAGACAAGAAGGGAGACAAAAGGAAACAGAAGGGAGACAAGACGGACACAATGACCCACAAGAAGGGAGACAAGACCGGAGACAAACAAAGAATGAAGGGAGACAAGGCGGACACAGTGACCAACAAGAAGGGGGACACAGTGACCAACAAGAACGCAGACTAAGGGAGACAAGCCAGACGGAAGGCGGACACGCTGTCCGGCAGCAAGGCGGACACTTTTGGAAAGCACTTAGAACCCCTAACAGTAACCTGTATGGGGAAGTGCAGAAATCACCTGGGAGACAAATATGAATGCCAGCAGTGCAGGCACCGAACCTGGAAACAAAAGTAAACAAACCACATGGGAAACAAATGAATAGAAATGCTGCATGGCCAGCGGAAAAGGGCGGACACCAGCAGTGCAGGCAGCGAACCTGAGAGACAAAAGTAAAGAAATCACTTTAAAGACTAGACGACGAGTGGCCCGAAAGCATTTTTCATCACGTAGGAAGTCAGAGTGTGAGTTTTCTGTTAAGTGTTCAGTGTGAAGTGTTAAGTCGAGTGAGTTGAGGCAGTGTGTGGGTCTCTGTGTGTGTGTATCTATGTCTGTGTGTGTGTATGAGTCTCTGTCTGTGTGTGTGTCCGAGTAAGTTGAGGCAGTGCGTGGGTCTCTGTGTGTGTGTGTGTCAACCTCTCAAGAGAGCCGGGTCGTCGGGAGACATGACTCAGCTGCAGGGGCGCCAGAGCAGCCGCAAGAGATGGCTCAGCCGCGAGAGATGACTCATCCGCGTACTAAAGT